ATCTGTATACTGATGGCTCTTACATCCAGCTGCTTATTATGTGTCTCTTCTTGAATTTCTAACAAGGATCTAAAAATCGACACATCAAAACTGAATTTCTGTTATCTCCACCCAAATCCACTCCTCCACAGTTTTCCCACCATAGGCAATGTGACAGCATCTTTTATTTGTTTAAGCTGAAAATCTTAGCGTCCTCATTGATTCTTCTCTTTCCTTCACAGCCCAAGTCAGATCTGACAGCAAACTTTTTCACTTTATCTTCAAAATATATTCAGAATTCTGCCAGTTTTCATCACCGATAACTACCATCTCCCTGATCCAGGTCACTGTTCTCTCTCCCACCTGAATTATTGCAATAGTTTCCTCTGTGATTTCTTGGTTTTGCCTTTATGTCCCTTTTCTTGTTGAAATGTTGGTGACCAAGGGCACGCTGCCAACAAATGGAGTTTTCTGAAAACTATTCCAGAAAATCACTCTCATAGAATGTTAAAGCCACAGTCTTTTAAAGTCCAAAAAGACTCAACATCATCCTACTGTCTCTCGAATCTCACTTCTTCCTCTCTCCCCATTTTTACTTCCTCCAGTCACACTAGTCTCCTTGCTCCTGCTCAACACACTAAGCATAAATCTGCCTCAGGGACTTTGCATTTGATTTCACCTTTACCTGCAATTTATCTACTTTATTTTATTTTATTTTTTATTTTTTTACAGTTTATGCTTCTTTGGCTACATTATTAAAATTTTCTTACATATCTGACACTTTCTACCTTCCTTCCCTGTCTTATTGTTTCTCTAACCCTTATTACTGTGTAGCATACAATACTTTACTTCCTTATTGTCTGAAAAACTCTATGAGGGTGTAAATCTATGTCTGCTTTGTTCATAACTAAACCTGCAGGTCCTAGAAGAGTGCTTGGTGTGGAACAGTTACTTGATAAACAGTTATTGGACAATTGAGTGATGCTGTTAGAGCTAGTGTATACCCTACTAAGCTATTTGGAATTTATGTTCTATTAATTTCTTGTATTTTGAGAGCACATAGGATGAGTTGTTTAACCTCATAATAAACTGAGTTATAGCACATTTTTATCTAATTTGTAAGTCATAATTTATTTCCAGATATACTTTTCAGGTATCTGAACTTCATAGCTGCTATCAATAAAATATAGCCATTGTGTGTATCCAAGGCAGGTTAGGAAGTGTCACTGCTTTATAATCTGGTGAGCCCTAATCTAGTGGGGGCCTGCCAGGGCCGTATAAATACAGTTGTACTAGATAATCATATATATTTGTAGCTTCTATGTGCTGAATCACCTCTTTTCTGGAATGCTCTTCACCCTCTAGATTTCAAAGAAACTCCTATAAGATTCTATATCTCTAGAAAGTTCAAATTGTCATTTTCCATGGACTTTGTAAATATCTCTCTTGAAGGAAGGGGCACTAAGGCAGCCAGAGATAACACTAGGCTTAGACATGAATTCCAGCTTCATCATTTTTTAAGTAATTGGCTAGTTTTTAACTTATAAAAACCCATTACATCTGTAAATAGAGATAATAAAATAATACCTACATCTAAAGGTTGTTATGAGGATTATGGACACCCATGTACCAGGCACAGAGACACCCCTAGACACAGACACAGATATAAAATGCACACAGAATATAGTCTGGGGGTATGAGAGGTATTTTATTCTTTGCAACATGAAAGCCTTGCCTAGGTCTCTAAATATTCAAGGACATTCTCTTTTGGCTTCTCTGACATCACACGTTCTCACTTTCTCTCCTTACTTTCTGAGTTGACCCCATTTCCTTAACTGGCTTTTCCACAAACTGACCTCTCTGTGGGACTTACTTTTCAGCTCCACTTTTCTTTTTTTATGTGATTGTATTCACCCCAAAGATTTTATATATTGGTGGCACTCAATTTACATCTCCAACCCAAAATGGTCTTCTAGGTCCAGCCTCATGTATTTACCTTCCTGTTTAACACCTGCTACTGGATGCTTCAAAAACATCTCAAATTTAACGTGTTCAAAAGAAAGTTGTTAAGTTTCCCTGTGCCCCCATCTGTTTCTGTACCAGTCTGTTGCATTTATTTTAATGGTACCTAAATATACTAGTTTTGTAGACTCAACACTGAAGAGAAGACCCTGATTCCTCTCTCCCTTAGTGTCCACATCTAGTCCATCAGAAAGCTCAGTTCATTTTACTTGCAAAATATACCTGATTCCTCTACCTCTCTGTGTATCTACTCTTACAAATCATAGCCAATCCACTATCATCCTTACCTAGATTAGCATGAGTCCCCTAATCAGATTTCTGCAGTCCATTATCCAGAACAGTGAGCAGCTGGAACGCTCTTTTCTAACATTGAGTTGTGCCGATAACGTGTTTGCATCTCCTCAGTGGCTTTCTGTTGCACTTAACATTCAAACTGGGTCCTATGTGGCCTGGCCCTTTATTAGCTTTCCAGCCTCATCTTGCGCCACTGTCCATCCTATTCTTTATGCTCCAGCCGCACTTTCACATGGTCAACATTTTTTACCCTTCATTTTATTGTTCTTTGCATTCATCAGGTTCAGGCTACAGTCACCTTTAGAGTATTGATCTGTAGGCCCCATGAGCACAGGGAACATGTATGCCTTGTTCTCTCTTGAATATTTAAATCTCAGGATAGAGTTGTAGCATAGACATGCTGTATATATTTGTTAAATGAGTTAAAGAATAAATGCCTGGTGCATAATGGGTGCTCAATGAAAGATAATGAGGGTAATTATCAATGTACATCATTGCACTTCTTTGTCATATTAGTCTCTCCCACTCAATAGTTAACAGACATTTGTTCAATGAGTTAAATAATTAATTTAGCTATATTAGGAAGACACCTTCAGTGTGGGTATATGTAATATATAAAATATTATATTGTGTATAAATGTTAATCTTATTTTTGTTAATCATGTATATACACTATGTCTCAATATATAGGACTTGCCTAAAATTGCTCCAACAAAGAAAATGCCTGGGACTGGTATTTTAGTTTCATCAGTTTGATGGGCCACTTCTAGTCTCTCATATCACTTTGATGCTCTTACATCATGAAAATGAGCCCTATTTTGTTACTGAGTTTGCTCACTAATATTCTTTATTTAATGAGAAATTGTGATTCCTTTTACTTCAGATTTTTCTTTTTGTCTGCAGTAGAAGTCACATGATCATGAGAATAAGCATTGGTCCCAGGTCCTTGGTGTAAGCACAGTAAAGGGAGAACTTGAGAATATTCGGGTAATTTCCAAATGAAAAAAATTAACATTTTTCTCCTAAATATTGCCAAATAGTTATTTTGGAACATCTAGTTATTTGAGATTGTTTTTTGTTTTTTTGTTTTTTAATTTTAGTGTTTGGCACGATACAGAGGGAGCTTTCCTCTGTTGCCATAGGAAACAATAAAAGAAACGATGCAGCTGAGGGTGAGAGTGATTAGAAATGTGGTTCAGATTATATTTGCTTTGTGTCAGGGCTAGAAGTTTTGCAGATCTGATGAGTGTTGAAAACCATTAGTACTCCTGAAGAGCTGTCGTAATTGCTTGAATTCCTGAAGAAGCACCTGTCTTGAAAGGTGGCACTTAGGGAGTTAGTCACTTTAAAACAATTTGAGATTCTTGGTTGGCAGAGGTGATAACATACAAACTAAGTCTCTTATACAATCCTGTAAATAACACAAATCACTAATTCGTCTGTTCCCTTTTACAAATGATGCTAGAATTTGCTGTAGGCAACTTGGGGAAAATTTTTCTTCTTCCCAGGAGTTTAAACTGAAAGAACAACTAACTTCATAGCTTTACTAAGTTTCTACTTGGAAGGATAGTCCAAACATGTTCTCCCAGCCATTTGAGTCTTCCTGATGTAGATTCCCCGCCCCCTACCCCTGGATCAGAGATAGAGGGCTGATTACTGTGAGTTGTATTACAAGACTCTGTAATTACTTCAAAGACTCTGGAGGACCAAGTGGATTGCCGGAGAGTTTTCTGCTCACCAGGTAGCCACAGAATGCCCTTGGAAATTTACTAACAGAAAAGGTCATGTCTTAAATATGGGTGCTCTTGTTTGATGTCAAAACACTTGCATAGTTGATATCTTATGTTGATTCCCATAAGGGCTGCCTAGCACATATGATCCCCATTTTTAAGATGAGGAAAGTCCGGCATTGAGAGGTTAAACAATTTCCTAATAGTTCTTGATAGCAGAACTGGAACTTTAACCTGAGTATTTTCTCCAGAAGTTGGTGCTCATGTCACTGTGCTTGCTGCATATATGTGGGACATTTTACTCGGTAAATATCTTAACTCCCTCTCCATTCTGTCCTGTGGTTCATTTAGCTTGGAAATACCCACAGTTGTCTTTGTTCTATAGTATATGGAAACTGGACACAGCACTTAACTAATGGGAAGATTATTCAACTTGCTTACATTGCCTTTGAAGAAGGGGGGTGTAGGCTTTCTCCAAGTAGCTTGATTTTTGTAATTGCATAATTAATACATGCTCAATGCTGAAAATTTGGAAAGAAACAAAAAGGATTTCTAAAACAAAAAAATACCATCACCCAGCAATCACCACCAATGTTTAATATTTGGGGGTTCATGCTCCCTAAAGTTTTCTGTTCATGACATAGTTTTACTTTTAAGATGCTTTCTCCAACCCCCGTGGGAGCACATGGTTCAGCTTGCTACACATAAGATTTCGTTTTCTGTATTCCAGATGAACAAATGAAAAAAACATTAATCTAATCAAAGCAGGATCAAGAGGCTGTATCAGCTGCTTCATCACATCCCAAAATTCACAAAGGAGACAAAGGACAGTCAGAAATATTTTTGTATTCCTTTTTATTGTCAAGTTATTTCCATCATCAGAAAGCCTTCCCTTTCTCCAAAAGCATAGACCATGAGGGCTTTCCAAAGCAGTGGCACTTACGCTGTTGAATACCTATGCTTTTCCCCCCGCAGGTTTTGAAGGTCATGATCACGTGGATTCATCTAACTAGATGGTACCTGGGGACGTGGTGGTCCTTTAGAGAGCACGTCTGAATTACTGGCGAATCCTTGACTTGCCGCTCAACCTAGGACATCGTTTGATCCTACCTTTCAGGAACTCTCCTAGGTTCTCCCCACCATGCTGTCATCAGCGTGAACTCCTGTCCTAAAATGGTCCCTCTGTTGATCTTGTCAGTGCTGCTTTTGAAAGAAGATGTCCGTGGGAGTGCGCAGTCTAGCGAGAGGAGGGTGGTGGCTCACATGCCGGGTGACATCATTATTGGAGCTCTGTTTTCTGTCCACCACCAGCCCACGGTGGACAAAGTCCACGAGAGGAAGTGTGGGGCGGTCCGCGAACAGTATGGCATTCAGAGAGTGGAGGCCATGCTGCACACCCTGGAAAGGATCAACGCGGACCCCACGCTCCTGCCCAACATCACCCTGGGCTGTGAGATCCGGGATTCCTGCTGGCACTCGGCCGTGGCCCTGGAGCAGAGCATCGAGTTCATCCGGGACTCGCTCATCTCCTCGGAGGAGGAGGAGGGCCTGGGGCGCTGCGCAGATGGCGCCGCCCGCTCCAAGAAGCCCATCGTCGGCGTCATCGGGCCCGGCTCCAGCTCCGTGGCCATCCAGGTCCAGAACTTGCTCCAGCTTTTCAACATACCTCAGATCGCTTACTCGGCAACAAGCATGGACCTGAGTGACAAAACCCTGTTCAAGTACTTCATGAGGGTCGTGCCTTCGGATGCGCAGCAGGCCCGGGCCATGGTGGACATAGTGAAGAGATACAACTGGACCTACGTGTCGGCCGTGCACACGGAAGGTAAGAGGCCTGCCGTCCTCGAGCGCGCCTTAGCGCTCTACAGCTTCCCGGTTAAAGTCGCAGGCTTTGGAAAGCTGAAATATTCTTACCTGTTTGGGCTCTTTTGAGCTGCCCCGTTATGTACCCTTAATAAGGGAGGGACTGGATGGCATATATAGTGAGTGACAAAAATTTAAGATAATATGAATGTTCAAGTGGCCATCATTTGGCAAAGTGGAAAAGTTTTTGGGTTATGTATTGCATTATTTGTACTTCTATAATGATGCTAGGTTTTTAAGTTTTCTAGCTTTTCACTGAACACATAACATTTTTAACATTTTAAAGGTATTCCAACTACCTATTTCTGATAAAGAGAGATATGCATAAATACACATAAAGACTGAAGGCAGCCAGTTCTGGCCCAGGTATAATGCAGTAGAAAATTACCTAACAAGTTAGTCTTATAACTATTTTTCAACTGAATATATAGTTAAATCTGAATGGAGATATGTATGAATTAGTTTTATCTTTGTAGAGAACATACTCAGAAAATGTAAGTTTTAATAATTCATCATTAGTTTGGCATTTATTACTTCTTTATGCTCAAAGTATAATGAAGAAGGAAAATATGACTGAGACTTACTAACAGTTAATAATACTGTTAGCACTTTTTATTGTATATTGTGTTTTTAAAATGCTTTTGTGTACATTATTTGTTAGCTCTTACCAAAGGCTGTTTGGGCTGTTTTGTTTTGACCTATAGAGTTTAAGGAACCCAAATGGTGAGACTCGCTCATTATGCAACATTCCATCTAGGATAACATACTACATATGCTACACACACAATAGAATACCAAAAATGATCTAAAATACTTTTTATATCTCCTTCAGCCATTGCGAGGATTAGTTAGATTTAAAAATTCTGCAGTAACACAATCAGTGTGGTCCAAATAATCTAATCCTGTAAAATGTGGGGTTGCATTATTGGGAAATTAATGAAATGACCAAAGAAAGCCTACTACAGAGATTGGGAGCCAATCACCAAGTAATAAACAAACTTTTATTATCAAGTGGCATAATATGGATTTCACTGTATAGCCACTCTTTTTAATAATATTCAGAATTGCATAAACATAAAATGGGCTTCTATATTGATTGAGACTTCTATGCCTCTGGAAATTTTCAAGTTTAAATTTCTAGTTTATTTGAAACTAGATGTTATATAGAGATTTTGAGCAACATATAGGTGATTGGAGTAGGAGACCTTTGATTTTTTTTCCTAATGCTGAGATTTTTCTTATGAAACCACTATTTCATTTGTCACAATGAGCAGTGATACAGATAATCCAGATATTTTATTCCCATTTTAAAATACAAGTGTTTTAAGAGTATAAATAACTTATCTAATAAATACATAATAGCAATTTGAGAGCCAGGAGTAAGGCTCATAGCTACTGACTCTTAGTTCTGTATTCTATTATAACTTAGCAGAATCTAATGGAATCACACCCTGAGGATATATTTGTACAACACATATTTATTAAGACAAATAGATGAAATGCCCTCTGGTAGTTCTCAGAAGGACAGCCCAATGTTGTATACATCACTACCCTCGATGGGCATGCAATCTGGCAAAAGAGATGAATCATGCACTAATGTAATGATGATTCAAGATGACAAGGAGTTAAAATATGTCTCTAAAGTAAATTGAATGAGAAAAAAAATCACATTTTACTCTGTGGTGATGGAGGCCGTGGTGCCAATCTTAGAGAAGGAAATGGAATTTGACAGTTGGATTTTAACAGGAAGAACATTGACAATTGGTGAAAATTAAGAAGGGATGGGTTTTCAGCAAAGAGCATGAGAAAATATGAGAAGGTCAGAAAGTAAAAAAAAATGTTAGCAAAAAGCAACAAGGATAAAGGTATGTTTTGGTTTGCCTCAAAAAAATAATAAATTTTCTTAGGAACTTCCGTCTAGAGTCTTAAGAGTAGGGCTTGGTCACTATGTGGGAGATGCTCATCCAAGATTGTGTTAAAAAAGAAACTAATCATCATGACTACTGGCTCTTACTAATTTAAACTGTTTTTGTGTGTGTGTGTGTGTGCATGTGGTGTTTTTTTTAAATTAAAATGGACACCAATAGTAATCCAATAAAATAAATAAATCATGATGCATCCAATGCATTCTATTGTGAGGTCATCATGATCTCCAAGGTAATTTTAAGTGAAAAAAGCAAGCGGAAGTTCTGTGTATATGGTATGTTATTTGAGTTTATAAAAACCATTTAATTGGATATTCATAGAATTGCTCTTAGAGCAGAGTAAAACTGATAACAATTGCTGCTTCTGTGGAGGAAATCTAAGTAGTTGGTGGATAGGGTGGAATAAATGAAACTTACTTTTCTTGTATAACTTTTACATGCAAATTTTTGAAGTTATGTGTTACACGAATAAACTATGTATCACAACAGAACAATTGAAAGAAAACATTGTATTTGTGACCAAAAACTAAGCCAAAATATTCAATTGCCAAATTTACGCAAATTTAATTATTTGGCCAAAATTAGGCGAATAGAAATTTTGTTGCCAAATTCTGGCAACTGTTTGGATAATACCAGGATTCAGCAGAGAACAGATTCTGAATATGAACATTCAAAGACTGGAAGAAGTACTCTTTGGTTTATTGTTTTAGGTGGTTTAGTCAAGAAGTATTTATACAATTGCAATCAAGTGTTATGGAAATGAGGTTGTATAGTGTTGCTTCTTACAGTTTATCAGTACAGGAGCAGTGTGGTGGGAAGTTTCACAAGGTAAAACTCACCTCCAGGATCAGAAAAGTGCTGGAGGAACAAGATATAGCTCTTTTGGCTACTGCTGGAGCTCCTAGGCGATGCCTTGTTTTCTGTTGTCTGGTCCTTCGGGAAGTCAGTTCTTATTTGAGCCATTTTCTGGTTGGATTGGGGCAATTCTCTCTAGACCCTGATCATTCAGCCCCAGCATCCCAAATTTATTTCCATGCCCTTATAATTATCCTCCTTTCCTCAGTTGATAGTCCACTTTCTTCAAGAATATGCACAATTTCAAATGCTTTCACATGAGGCATTGAGGTCTATGAAAAGATATCCCATTTTAGAGAAAACTTTTTATGCCCCAAATTGCCCATTTTTTTTTTTTTTTTTATACTTAGACTTGTCACTCAGTTCTCTTCGCAGGTATCACAAGATTTTTTTTTTGAGAACGTGTAGCTATCACAGAATTTCAGAAGAGAACAAAAAGGAGACGTTGGTTTCAGCTTCAAGGTTAATCTCTTACACTTGCTTTCCCCTTGATTTGTGATTTTTGTAGGCTATAGGACTGTGTGTGCTTACTGTGGCTTACTGTACTGTGCAGAAATTGTTCCTAGAACTTTTAGGCAAAGAGGTTAACTGTTTAAAAAGAAAAACAGAACAGAAAACACGGGAAAAAAATTTAAAGGCAGACATTAGCTCTTCAACTGCATGGAGGAAAGGAATATACAATGACTCCAATTTTCCCCCCATTCCTTTTAAAGGAGCCTGTTAGTCATCCCTTTCTTTGCTCTAATAAAATTTAAGGGGTTCTTTGCTTCAGTACTTTTTGCAAACCTTGGTACAGGTGCCTGTTACGGCACAGGATCAGCAGTGATCACCTGTTTGGGGGTGGGCAAATGGACTGCTTTGGCTTTGATGACTTCCATCGATGGTCCCCTTTGCTTTGTAACTTGACTGTTCCCTTCCACTCTCATGCTACACTAGCCTGTGACTGCTTCAGTCAATAGACTCTGGTGGAAGTGAGGACTCTCTTCCTGGTCCATCTCTCTTGGAACCCTGTCATCACTATGTGAAGGAAAAGAGCACCCAGGTTTTCTAGATGAGACCATCATAGGCCACTTGGCCTCAACTATGTGAGAGCTCCCAACAAAGAGGAACACAACTGCCTTTTTTACCCACAGTTATTTGCAATCACATAGTAAAGCCTGGCTGAAACATAAACATTACCCAGCTCACCATAAAGTTATGAACGATAATAAATACCTTCAAGATGGGTCCAGTATAAGCATATTCATCCCAGGGACTTTAAACTTTGATCATCCCCCCAAAATGGGAATTGCTACAATGCTTAAACCTCGAAATTAAAAATGTATTAACATGCATTAATAGTCTTGATCTTTAAATGTGAAATAAAATGGAATAAATGCTGCAGGCAAGAAGAAAAATTTAAAATGCTTCACTCATACTTTTGTAGCTAGAGATTTGATGATCCCCTAAAGCCTGCTTTAAATAGTCACGCACTTGCATATATTCCTTTATTCCGTGCTTACCCTTGATCTAGCCTAATTTTATTGAGAAAAGTAATTATAGATTGCATTTCATATACAAAACCATGTATATTGTACTTTATGGATGACTTACAGGATTTTCACACCACAGGTTTTGCTGACTTAATTGAAACTTCACTGTACATCCTTAGGGCCTACCAGAGTGCCTAGAACATAATAGGTGTTCAAAGACAGTTTGCTGAATGGATGAATTTGTGTTAGAATAGTACCTATCTCAGTTTATGAATATATAGCATGTGGACAAATAGCAGACCCTTTAAGTTTTCACAGTTTTGCTTCTTTATAAAAATGAGGTGCCAAAATGCCTCCATTGATTAATTGTAAAATGCTATTCACACCCCACTCCCTTTTTTGTTTGCACTGGTTCTTGAATTTATTATTTCCACCTAATGATAATGGAATGCTAATTCATTCTAACCAAAAAAACATGTCAGTGATGCTCTAGGGGGGAAAATGTCCTAATAAGTTGTACTGGCAATGTGACATCATTAAAACATTGTCTTCAGCCTAACCTACATATTGTAATGTTGTGCCACTTGTAGGTTATGATACAGGTTTTCATCAATTATTTCAAAGTGTGATAGCAGTCGGCTTTGGTTGAAAGACTTTCAGTGCGATTCATAGCCTATGTGCTTAGTTTAACTTCTGAAGAATGGAAATAT